TTCACCTTGAGGTGTGTGACCCGTGCCCAGACGAGGTTGGTGAGGGCCTCAGCCAGGGCCAGCCGTGCCCCCGCCCGGGGGTCCAGGATCCCTTTGATGGGCTGCTCCCCGATGGCCGTGGCGGCCCCGACGTCCCCGAAGTGGGACAGGGACACCACGGCCACGTCGGCCACCGGCGTGTGCAGGGGACCCACGCACTGCTGCTGGGCCACCAGACCGGTGACAGAGCGGTCAACCTGGGGACAGGGACAGTGGGGACATTGGGGACATCACTGGGGACATCCCTGGGGACATCATTGGGGACACCATTGGGGACACAGATATGGGAGATACAGGGACATTGGGGTCATTGGGGACATTGGGGACATCCCTGGGGTCATTGGGGTCATTGGGGACATTGGGGACATCCCTGGGGTCATTGGGGTCATTGGGGTCATTGGGGACATCATTGGGGACATTGGGGACATCATTGGGGACAGGGCTGGCACTGCTGCTGGGCCACCAGACCCGTCACTGAGCGGTCAACCTGCAGGGGACATCAGTGTCACCTTGGGGACATCATTGGGGACATCATTGGGGACATCATTGGGGTCATTGGGGACATCATTGGGGACATCATTGGGGACATCATTGGGGACATCATTGGGGACATCCCTGGGGACAGGGCTGGCACTGCTGCTGGGCCACCAGACCCGTGACAGAACGGTCCACCTGCAGGGGACATCAGTGTCACCTTGGGGACATCCCTGGGGTCATTGGGGACATCATTGGGGTCACTGGGGACAGGGCTGGCACTGCTGCTGGGCCACCAGACCAGTGACAGAACGGTCAACCTGCAGGGGACAGCGTTGGGGACATCCCTGGGGACATCATTGGGGACATCATTGGGGTCATTGGGGACAGGGCTGGCACTGCTGCTGGGCCACCAGACCCGTCACTGAGCGGTCAACCTGGGGACAGGGACATTGGGGACATCATTGGGGACATCATTGGGGACATCATTGGGGACAGGGCTGGCACTGCTGCTGGGCCACCAGACCCGTGACAGAACGGTCCACCTGCAGGGGACAGCGTTGGGGACATCCCTGGGGACATCATTGGGGACATCATTGGGGTCATTGGGGACATCCCTGATATGGGACAGGGACAGTGGGGACATCATTGGGGACATCATTGGGGTCATTGGGGACATCATTGGGGTCATTGGGGACATTGGGGACATCATTGGGGACAGGGCTGGCACTGCTGCTGGGCCACCAGCCCGGTGACAGAACGGTCAACCTGCAGGGGACATCAGTGTCACCTTGGGGACATCCCTGGGGACATCATTGGGGACATTGGGGACATCCCTGGGGACATTGGGGACATCATTGGGGACATTGGGGAAATCAATATGGGAGATACAGGGACATTGGGGTCATTGGGGACATCATTGGGGACAGGGCTGGCACTGCTGCTGGGCCACCAGACCAGTGACAGAGCGGTCCACCTGGGGACAGGGCTGGGGTCATTGGGGACATCATTGGGGACATCATTGGGGTCATTGGGGACATCATTGGGGTCATTGGGGACATTGGGGACAGGGCTGGCACTGCTGCTGGGCCACCAGACCCGTGACAGAACGGTCAACCTGCAGGGGACAGCGGTGTCACCTTGGGGACATCATTGGGGACATTGGGGACAGCATTGGGGTCATTGGGGACATCATTGGGGACATCACTGGGGACATTGGGGACATCGTTGGGGACATCATTGGGGTCATTGGGGACACAGGATATGGGAGATACAGGGACATTGGGGACATCATTGGGGACATCATTGGGGACATCATTGGGGTCATTGGGGTCATTGGGGACATCATTGGGGTTATTGGGGACATCCCTGGGGACAGGGCTGGCACTGCTGCTGGGCCACCAGACCCGTGACAGAGCGGTCCACCTGGGGACAGCTTTGGGGACATTGGGGACATCATTGGGGACATCATTGGGGTCATTGGGGACATCATTGGGGACATCACTGGGGACATCATTGGGGACATCAATATGGGAGATACAGGGACATTGGGGACATCATTGGGGACATTGGGGACAGGGCTGGCACTGCTGCTGGGCCACCAGACCCGTCACCGAGCGGTCAACCTGCAGGGGACAGCGTTGGGGACACCATTGGGGTCATTGGGGACATTGGGGACATTGGGGACATCATTGGGGACATCATTGGGGACATCATTGGGGACATCATTGGGGTCATTGGGGACATCATTGGGGACATCCCTGGGGACAGGGCTGGCACTGCTGCTGGGCCACCAGACCCGTCACTGAGCGGTCAACCTGCAGGGGACATCAGTGTCACCTTGGGGACATCATTGGGGACATCATTGGGGACATCCCTGGGGACATTGGGGACATCATTGGGGTCATCATTGGGGTCATCATTGGGGACATCATTGGGGACATCATTGGGGACATCATTGGGGTCATTGGGGACATCAATATGGGAGATATGGGAGATACAGGGTCATTGGGGACATCCCTGGGGACATCCCTGGGGACAGGGCTGGCACTGCTGCTGGGCCACCAGACCCGTCACTGAGCGGTCCACCTGCAGGGGACAGCGTTGGGGACAGCATTGGGGTCATTGGGGACATCCCTGGGGACATCATTGGGGACATCATTGGGGACATCATTGGGGACATTGGGGACAGGGCTGGCACTGCTGCTGGGCCACCAACCCGGCGACAGAGCGGTCAACCTGCAGGGGACATCATTGGGGACATCATTGGGGACATCATTGGGGACATCATTGGGGACATCATTGGGGTCATCATTGGGGACATTGGGGACATTGGGGACATTGGGGACATCATTGGGGTCATCATTGGGGACATCCCTGGGGACATCATTGGGGACATTGGGGACAAGGATATTGGGGATGTTGGGGACATTGGGGACATCATTGGGGACATCATTGGGGACATTGGGGACATCATTGGGGACATCATTGGGGTCATTGGGGACATTGGGGACATCATTGGGGACATTGGGGTCATTGGGGACACTGGGGACAGGGCTGGCACTGCTGCTGGGCCACCAGCCCGGTGACAGAGCGGTCCACCTGCAGGGGACATCATTGGGGACACTGGGGACATCATTGGGGACATCCCTGGGGATATTGGGGACACCATTGGGGACATGGATATTGGGGATATGGGGTCATTGGGGACACTGGGGACATCCCTGGGGTCATTGGGGTCATTGGGGACATCATTGGGGACATCATTGGGGACATCCCTGGGGACAGGGCTGGCACTGCTGCTGGGCCACCAGACCCGGTGACAGAGCGGTCCACCTGCAGGGGACATCAGTGTCACCTTGGGGACATCATTGGGGACATCATTGGGGACATCATTGAGGACATTGGGGACATCATTGGGGACATCATTGGGGACAGGGCTGGCACTGCTGCTGGGCCACCAGCCCGGTGACAGAGTGGTCCACCTGGGGACAGGGACAGTGGGGACATCATTGGGGACATTGGGGACATTGGGGACATCATTGGGGACAGGGCTGGCACTGCTGCTGGGCCACCAGGCCAGTGACAGAGCGGTCCACCTGCAGGGGACATCACTGGGGACATCATTGGGGTCATTGGGGACAGGGCTGGCACTGCTGCTGGGCCACCAGCCCGGTCACTGAGCGGTCAACCTGCAGGGGACATCATTGGGGACATCATTGGGGACATCATTGGGGACATCACTGGGGTCATTGGGGACATCATTGGGGTCATTGGGGACATCCCTGGGGACAGGGCTGGCACTGCTGCTGGGCCACCAGACCCGTCACTGAGTGGTCCACCTGCAGGGGACAGCGGTGTCACCTTGGGGACATCATTGGGGACATCATTGGGGACATCCCTGGGGACATCATTGGGGACATCACTGGGGACATCATTGGGGTCATTGGGGACATCATTGGGGACATCATTGGGGTCATCATTGGGGTCATTGGGGACATTGGGGACATCACTGGGGTCATTGGGGACATCCCTGGGGACATCATTGGGGACATGGGATATTGGGGATGTTGGGGACATTGGGGACATCATTGGGGACATCCCTGGGGACAGGGCTGGCACTGCTGCTGGGCCACCAGACCCGTCACTGAGCGGTCAACCTGGGGACAGCGTTGGGGACATTGGGGACAGCGTTGGGGACAGGGCTGGCACCTCAGGGACATTGGGGACATCATTGGGGACATCCCTGGGGACAAGGGGAACACCGGGGGGACCTGGGGGGTGACACTGAGGGGACACTGAGGGTGACACTGAGGGGACAATGAGGGGACACTGAGGGGACAATGAGGGGACAATGAGAGGACACCGAGGGGACAGTGAGGGGACAGTGAGGGGACAGGAAGGTGACACAGGTGACACAAATGACCCCCAGGTGACACAAATGACATCCAGGTGACCCAGGGGGGTGACAAATGACCCACCTTGTTGGGGAGGGACCTCTGGCTGGAGCGGGGTTGGGGTGGCACAGATGGGTTTGGGGTGACAGGGGTGGGACAGGGAGGTGACACAAATGACACAGGGGTGACACAGGTGACACAAATGACCCCCAGGTGACACAAATGACACTCAGGTGACACAGGGAGGTGACAAATGACCCACCTTGTTGGGGAGGGACCTCTTGGTGGAGCCACGAGGGAAGGTTTGAGGATGACACGGGTGGGGTTTGGGGTGACACAAATGACACAGGGGGGTGACAAATGACACAAATGACACCCCAGGTGACCCAGGGGTGACACAAATGACCCAGGGAGGTGACAAATGACCCGGGGGGGTGACAAGTGACCCACCTTGTTGGGGAGGGACCTCTTGGTGGAGCCACGAGGGAAGGTTTGAGGATGACACGGGTGGGGTTTGGGGTGACACAAATGACACAGGGGGGGTGACAAATGACACAGGGGTGACACAAATGACCCAGGAAGGTGACAAATGACCCGGGGGGGTGACAAATGACCCACCTTGTTGGTGAGGTACCTCTTGCTGGCCACGGCCGGCAGCCTCAGCACCCTCTCCAGCGCCTCCCGCACCGACAGCCCCGTGGGGAGGCTCAGGGCGCAGGGGGACGGGACTGGCTCAGGTGGAACTCCTGGGGAAATTTGGGGGTCAAGGGGTCCTAAAATTAAGGGGGTCCCTAAGAGTAGGAGGGGGTCCCAAAATTAGGAGAGGGTCCCAAAAATAGGGGGGTAAAAATTTGGGTCCCCAAAATGGGGGTCCCAATTAAGGGGTCCCCATTTTGGGGTTTTCCCTCCCCTTCATTTCCCTCCTCAATTGAAGGGGGTCCTTTGACCCTCCCCTCCTTGGGGGTCCCACCTCAGCCCCTCCCTCCCCTTTTTGGGGGTACCTTGACCCCTCCCCACACCCCCGAGGGTCCCACCCAGCCCCTCCCCATCCGTTGAGGTCCCTCCCCTCTTTAGGGGTCCCTTTGACCCAGGGGTCCCACCCAGCCCTCCCCCTCACCTTTGGGGGCTCATTTTGACCCCTCCCCACCCCTCAAGGGGTCCCTTTGGTCCCGGGGTCCCCCAGCCCCTCCCCTTTAGGGGTCCTTTGACCCCAGGGGTCCCCCAGCCCCTCCCCTCACCTTTGGGGGTCATTTTGACCCCTCCCCTTTAGGGGGTCCCTTTGACCTCGGGGTCCCCCAGCCCCTCCCCCTCACCTTTTGGGGGTCATTTTGACCCTCCCCACTCCCTCAAGGGGTCCTTTGGTCCCGGGGTCCCCCAGCCCCTCCCCCCTTTAGGGGTCCCGTTGACCCCAGGGGTCCCCCCAGCCCCTCCCCTCACCTTTTGGGGGTCATTTTGACCTCCTCCCCTCTTAGGGGTCCCTTTGACCCGGGGGTCCCCCCAGCCCCTCCCCACCCGGGGGTCCCACCCAGCCCCTCCCCTTTGGGGACCCTCCCCACCTTTGGGGGTTCCCTTGACCCCTCCCCTTCCTTGGGGGTCCTCTGACCCCGGGGTCCCACCCAGCCCCTCCCCCACCCTTGGGGTTCCCCCCAGCCCCTCCCCCCAGGAGTCCCCCCCCAGCCCCTCCCCCCTCACCTTTTGGGGCATCTTGCCCAGCACCCACTGGAGGTCGAGGTTGACGGCCGGAGCTCGTGGGAGCCCCCTCGTGGACCCCGGGGCACCGGGGCCGACAGGTCGTCCACCAGCACGATCTGGGGGGGAGGGGGGAAAAAAGGGGGTTAAACCACCCCAAAATGACCCCAAAACGACCCCAAAATCACCCCAAAGTGAGCACAAAAATGAGCCGAAAAAAACAACCCAAAATGACCCAAAAATGGCCCCAAAAGAACCCAAAGTGACCCCAAAATGACCCCAGGACCCCAAAAATGACCCCAGAATAAACAGCACAAACTGACCCAAAACGACCCCAAAACTGACCCCAAAAGAACCCAAAATGACCCCAAACTGACCATAAAAATGAGCCGAAAAAACAACCCAAAATGACCCAGAAATGACCCCAAAAGAACCCAAAGTGACCCCAAAGTGACCATAAAAATGTCCCTAAAAAACAACCCAAAATGATCCCAAAAGTACCCAAAGTGACCCCAAAAGAACCCAAACTGACCCCAAAACTTCCACCAGCACGATCTGGGGGGGGGGAAAAGGGGGTTAAACCACCCCAAAATGACCCAAAACGACCCCAAAATCACCCCAAACTGACCATAAAAATGAGCCTAAAAAAACAACCCAAAATGACCCCAAAATGACCCCAAATGACCCCAAAATGACCCCAAAATCAGCACAAAAATGAGCCTAAAAAAACAACCCAAAATGACCCCAAAAGAACCCAAAATGACCCCAAACTGACCATAAAATGAGCCTAAAAAAACAACCCAAAATAACCCAAAAGTGGCCCCAAAAGAACCCAAAATGACCCCAAAATAACCCCAAACTGACCCCAAACTGACCATAAAAATGAGCCTGAAAAACAACCCAAAATGACCCCAAAATGACCCAAAACGACCCCAAAATGGCCCAAAACAACCCCAAAAATGACCCCAAAATGACCCCAAACTGACCATACAAATGAGCCTAAAAAAACAACCCAAAATAACCCAAAAATGGCACCAAAATAGCCCAAAATGACCCCAAAAGAACCCAAAATGACCCCAAAACATCCACCAGCACGATCTGGGGGGGGAAAAGGGGGTTAAACCACCCCAAAATGACCCCAAAAATGATCCCAAAATCACCCCAAACTGACCATAGAAATGAGCCGAAAAAAACAACCCGAAATGACCCCAAAA